TTCAGGATTCACAAAGCTATTTAGATTTATGGGTGGATTCCTTTACTCCATGGTTCTTTTATGTCTTGTATGTACTTATTTTCATGCCTTACATACTCGTTACAATATTCGTACTGACGCCCCTATTTCTTGGGGCCTACGTTTCATGCATGCAGGTGCAGGTGGACAGGCTGACGGTCCCCCTTTTTAGGATCGTTGATCAACGAGAGTTGGTGTGCTCCACTTGATCCGGAGCTGTTATTGATTTTGGTTCACTATTTTTGTATGTAGATATGGGTACGATGGGCCCCAATACCGTCCTTCATACAGTTGTACACTCTATTAGAGATCTGTAGTCAGTCATTTATAGTTGGATAGTATATAGCCTTGTCAGTTTCTAGTTTTGGATATATAGTTGTCTATAGTAACCTTGTCGGCTCGCCCTACCGTATTCCACAGGTATATGTATATATGTATTTTGGACATATTTTTCTCACGTATGTTATTCACTTGATTCAGTAGTTTATTGACAGATGTTATTCATGACCTACCCTTAATTCATGTTTATATCTTAGACGCATGCTTAGGGGTGTTCAACAGGCAGGACTCGGACACTCGTCATGGCCTATCGGTTCGGGTCGTGACAATATTGGCCCTTTTGAGGTGCTTGGGAGGAGTGGAGAGGTGGCCTACAAGCTTGCATTGTCACCTAGTCTATCTGGTGTTCACCCAATGTTTCATGTCACTATGCTCCGGAAGTATTATGTTGACTTTGTTGATATCAGGTTCAGATTTTGGTTCCAGAAGTTGGAATAGGTCAGTTGTGTCTCATCACTTGTGTGCAAAATTTGAGGTCAATCGGAGTTGGTTTGGTATGTTTCGGCATTAGTTTTAGAAGTTGGAAGTTTAATAGTTCATTAGGCTTGAATTGGGGTGCTGTTCGTGATTTCGATGTTGTTTGATGTGATTTGAGGTTCCAACTAAGTTCATATCATGTTTTAGGACCTGTTGATATGTTTGGATAGGGTCCCGGGGGCCTCGGGTGTGTTTCGGATTAAGTTCGGACTCATTTTAGACTTGGAGGAGTTGCTGATTTCTGAGCATCTGGTTTCCTCTTTTGCGGTCACGAGAAGAGGGACATGATCGCGAAGGATCAATTGGCAGGTGGGTATTTGTTCAATGCGTTCGCGAGTTTGAGGATGCGATCGTGGAGCTTTTGTTATTTGTACATCGCAGACGCAGGAGATGGGACGCGTTCATGAAGAGGAAGGGGAGGTCTGGGAAGTTCATGCGTTACTCTTTGCGATCCTGTATTTTTGTCCGCGATCGCGTAGGCCTGGGTTGCTGAGAATCGCGTTCATGATTGGTAGCTCACATTCACGTAGATAAAATTTGATGACAATGATTTTTGTTCTTCGCGATCGCGAGGGACTTTCTGTGATCGCAAAGAGGAACATCTGGGCAGACTATAAAAAACCCAAATCAAGGGTAAGAGTATTATTTTATATTTTGAGTTGTAGAACTCGCTTTTGTGCGAATTTCGAGGGAATTTTCATGATTTGGATCGGGGTAAGCATTTCTGACTCGGATTTCTTATTATTTTATGATTCCATCTTTATTTTTAGCATTTAATTAGTGAATTAAAGTGAAGAAATAGAGAATTTTGTGGAAACTTTGCAAAAATGAAAAATGGAGGTTTGAAGGTCGATTTGAGATCGGAATTGGATGATTTTGGGATGATTGGACTCGTAATCGAACGGGTGTCTAGAATTTATAAATTTTGCCGGGTTCCAAGGTACGGGCCCGGGATTGACTTTTTGGGTTGACTGTTTGATTTTGATAAAGATCAAAACTTTATTGTTTGAAGTTATTTCCTACGACATTATTTGTTGATATTGAGTTTTTTGTGACTGGATTCGAGTCATTTGAAGGCCGATATGCATGGGAAAGGCTTGTTGGAGTTGTGATTTGCACATTGTGAGGTAAGTAACACTTCTAAACTTAGAAGTGAGGGTATAAATCCATGGAAAACATGTTATATGGATTGCGTTGGGGTGATACACATGCTAGGTAATGGGCGAATAGGCGTGCACCGTGGTAATTATGAATCGGATGAATTCTTAAATGGTGTTGACATCAAGTCTTGTTTTATCCTTGTAATTCCTACATGTTAGAGTAATTGAGCTGTGATTCAAGTTTAGGCTATATGCTTATTTGATTGAGACTTAGTGAGGTTATTATGTTGTTTTGAGTTATCTGCTTTAACTGCACTCATGTACTCAGTCATGATTCTTCATTTGCATATCATTACTGAGTGATTGTGTGTGTGATGAGTAAGTATTGGAGATAGACAGATTGAGTACTATGAGAGCGTAAGCACCTAGGAATATCACTATGATACCTTACATTTGACATGCATATTTGACATGTTGGCATAGAGATGTACCATTCCTCATGCTACCTATACTTGACCTGTTTTTATGAGTGCTGGTCTTTAAATTGTGAACTTGAAAGCATGTCTAAATTTATGTACCATGAACGAGCTGAATATGGAAGTTTTTCTAAGTTATTTGCTGTCATTGTCATTATCTTACCCGTGTTTTCATTATATTGGTTCCGACGGTATCCTTCTGAGCTCGTCATTGATTTTAACCCAAGGTTAGTCTTGTTACTTATTGAGTACATTGGGTCGGTTGTACTCATACTACACTCTGGACTTCGTGTGCAGATCCAGGTACATCTGGACGTGGTGATTGCTAGATCGTTGCTAGTACTTGCTTGGAGACTTCAAGGTAGCTGCTATGACGTTCGCGGCCCTTGACTCTCTTTTCTTTTATTTTATTCAGTAATGTTCTATTATTCTGACTGTTGTTCTAGCGTTTTAGTTTATGTTGATACTTAGTAGTGCTCATGTACTCGTTAACACCGGATTTTTGGATGGTTGTAGTAGTATTTCAATTACTTTTATCAGATATTTATGAGATTTCCGGTGTTTAGTTTATTAAAACATGTTTTATTCCAAATGTTTAGTTGTTATGTGAATGTCGGCTTGCCTAGCAAGTGTGTTTGGAGTCATCATGACAGTTTGGGATCTTGGATCGTGACATTTACTTTCTTTAGTTTAATCTAAAGTTCTATATATTAAATTTCGTACAATTGTGAAAAAAATCTTTGGTCACCCAATAAAATGTTTTCAAGC